CTATCCCCTTTTTCTTTTGTTCATCCAAAGACGGGGTTAGAATAGTAGATTCATAGGTTTTAAGGTTACCTCTTAGCCCGTCGATGGTGACGTTGGAGACTCCAATGGATTCATAGATTGCATCGGCTTTTGACCTCCATTCGGGTGTGAGGCTTCGCAGGATTTTCCTCACGAGATCCTTGTTGGTGTAAGTCTTTTTAAGAGCATGAAGGTCGTTGATTATCTTTGAAAAACGGTCGAACATGTCATCAATTTTCTCACCTTCTTTCATCCGGAACATTTCGTACTCTTGGGTGAGAAAATCGATCTTGGCTTCGCGAACTTGATCGGTACCTTCGTACGTCACTTCAAGCTTGTCCCACATCTCCTTGGCGGTTGTGCAACAGGAGATCTTTCGGTAGTCATCGGGGTTGACCGCGCAATATAGTATATTGATGGCCTTTGCATAGTTTTCAATCTTCTTGATGTCCTCGGCATCAAATTCGTTTTCGGTCTTTGGGACCGTGGTTTCTCCCACTTTCTTCATAGGGATTTCCTCGCCATTTTTTATCACCAACCACAATTGGAAGATGGTGGAACGAATGTAGATTCTCATCCGTTCCTTCCAATAAGAGTAGTTGGAACCATCAAAGAGTGGTGGCCTAGAAGTTGATTGACCTTCTCCAATTCCTGCATAGAGATTTCTAGAAGAAGAGCCCATGATCGCTATACTCTCAAACGGTTAAGTTTGGACGCGAGTTAGGCTCCGATACCAATTGTTAGAATAAGAGACTAACGCTAGAGGGGGGGGTGAATAGCGTTTGATAAAAAATTGCAGGAATAAAAAATGAATAAGCGAGAAGTAAAGAGAAGAGTAAGAGGCACACCGATTTTACCCTGGTTCACCACAACTTGTGGCTAATCCAGCCTCCCGAGAGACTCTCTCGAGCTACACTACTACCTCGTTAAGCTTAACGGTGCTTAACAAACCCGTACAACTTGAGAATTCGAGTCACACGAACCTCAACGAACCTTCGAAGGAAACAACCCTTCCTTCGACCAACAAGAGAAATACCTTCTCTTGTCAAGTGTTTAAGAACACTAAAAACAGTCAAGAACAATACTCTCTTTTAGAGTGGATAATGAGTAAACTAAGAATGCTCAAGAACACAATGTTGGGAAACGAGGCATGGATAACGCAGCGGAAAACAAAAATTTATAGTCCAAAACTCGATTCCACCCAAGAACAACTTACGTAAATTACTAGCTATAGTAAGAAATTTACCTTAACGGTGAAAACGGAGAACGGAGGAACGGTCGGGGATGGTTTTGAGGAGATGAACGTAGCGCCAAACGTATGAAGCCTCAACGTATCCACACGAACTTGCTCCGGAGTCCAAGATTAAACTTGTGCTAGCAAGTTTAATATAGGATAGTAAAAACTATAATAATACTACTTTGGGAGTAATAAATATATAGTAAAATATTTATCTTATAAATATTTCTTTATAATATTTTGTGTATATTTCTAACACTTTAGAAAAATAACTTTGAACACAAAATAGGATTTTTCTTCTCTCTAAAATGGGATGGCCGAAAATTGTGGTGGTTTTTTTTTCCAAATCAAGACCTCATTTTATAATAAAGTATATTTAGGAAATTGCTAGGAAATTAATGTTAAGCATAAGTCCATGTATATGTCTTAACACCATGTGTAAATGTTTAATATCTTAGCTACCAAACAAAATAGAATCCCTACATCAAATAATAATCAAATATATCAATTTGACATTAAAATTCCTTTATGTATAAAATCAAAATGGTCTTGGATTTTCCTCTTGAAATCTTCGGCCATCTCATATTAAAGTACATTATATTTTATTTTGACATCAATAATTATCAAATAATTAAAATGATCAAAAAATAAAATAATATATATATAGGTATATAA